TACTAATCGTATTGACTACATTCAGACCATGGTTTTTATTTTTCTTAATATTTATTTTATTTATTTGAAATAAAGAGTGATAGGAGGGGAGAAACAAAGAAAGAAAAAGACCTTCCATCCACTGGTTCACTCCCCAAATAGCCTTAATGGCCAGGACTGGGCCAAGTTGAAGCCAGAAGCTTGGAACTCCATCTGGGTCATCCACAAGGGTGGTGGGGCACCAAGTATTTGGGCCATCTTGCACTGAGTTCCCACGCACTTAAGTTGGAGCCAGATCAGAAGCTGAGCACACAGGACTTAAATCAGTACTCAGATGCCAGCTTTGCAATCAGTGGCTTAGCCCACTGTGCCACAGTGCTGGCCCCAGACCATTGGTTTTCTGTTATCAAACTAATGCAAACCCTTGTTCTTTGCTTTATTTTAAAACTCTTTATTTTATTTTATTTTATTTTATTTTATTTTATTTTATTTTATTTTATTTTATTTTATTTTATTTTTTGACAGGCAGAGTTAGACAGTGAGAGAGAGAGACAAAGAGACAGGTCTTCCTTCTGTTGCATCACCCCCAAATGGCCGCTACGGCCAGTACACTGCACCGATCCCAAGCCAGGAGCCAGGTGCTTCCTCCTGGCCTCCCACGCGGGTGCAGGGCCCAAGGACTTGGGTCATTCTCCACTGCACTGCCGGGCCACAGCAGAGAGCTGGACTGGAAGAGGAGCAACCGGGACAGAATCCAGCACCCCAATGGGGACTTGAACCCCAGGGTGCCGGCGCCGGGCACAGGCGGAGGATTAGCTTAGTGAGCTGTGGCACAGGCCTTTAAAGCTCTTTATTAAAATGCATGCTTTATTTTGTTTTAGATGGATTACCTTTTATTCTGGGGTGGTTCCACTTGCTGTTGGCAGCTCCTGTCTTAAAACACAGAAATTGAGAATTTGAGTTCCTATTGAATCAAGCTATTTGCCCTTGAACTTCATTGTGTGCTGATTGGGAAAGTTACAAATTTGATAAATGAAGAGTGAGTTGAAGGGATAAGAGGGAGGAGCATATCAGATAATTACCTTATCAAGATGCTCCAGGACAGTTGCAATTGATATAAAAATATAATCAGCTGGGAAAAAAGCCATAGGATAAAGTATGTGCTAGGTCCTCACTTAACAACCCAGACAGTCAATCCACTAATTCTTAGAACACAAGTGTTATTTATTTATTGATATCAGGAGTGAGTTTGTCATGTTGGCTCTGCTTCCTAGCATTTTGCATACAACAAAGCAAATGCTGGTAGGGAATGGTATTGGAGACAGATGCAGTAGCATGGTGATATTAAATGAGAAAAGCCTTTCAAAGACCTTTTAAAAATCTTAATGATTTCTGAAGAGTTCTCTTTGAGATTCTTCCCTTGACTCCTGTAGCCAAATTAATAGAGTGTGACTTTAAACTTCTGCCAAACACCACTTCAGTTCAAATGACAGCTGTCAGGATAATGTGGCTGAGAGATGATGAGATCTTTAGTCATCCAGCTATCTTTAGAAGTTACTGTCTTTGTTTAACAAAGACCGTAGTTCATAAATAGCCACAAGTGTTTGGAACATTGCTACACATTGTAGGAGCTCTAGAGTTTTCAGATTTTCATTTAGTTATCAGCAGGGCTTGAATACCTGTCCATTCACCACAGCAAAGTAGGGAATTATAGAAAAGCTGAAGTCTTTGGGGTACTTATAAAATAATGGAAGTCATATAAAAGGACTAAATATGTAAAACAACACTACCATATCAGACTATTGATGTAGCTAATTACAATCATGCAGAAATTATTCTTAGTGAAGTAGTTGAATAAATCCTGTCAAGTGTTAATCTTGGTAAGTGAGAAATCTTAAGTTTCAGATGCTAGGTGCCCTTTGCTACTTGGGAACTATTAGTCACCAATTCTAGTCACCAGAGTAACCCATCTTCTCATCTGTAACCAGGGGTTAATCATCTCAGAACTCTTTCACATAGTTGTTTGAAAAATCAAATGATTTGAAGTATGTGGAAAAAATTTATAGACTTCAATGTGCTAAACCCATGAAATATGGATTTATTACTACGTAGAATATTGGGAATCAGGATATACAGGAAACTAGAGAGTCTAGAGTCTGCCACCTAGAGTCTGTCTTTCACACTTGTAATTCCTTCTTGGCTATTGACCTTGGCTTCTTCTGTTTTAAGTCCCCTCTTTCTCACTCTTGCTCTCGCTCTTGCTCTTGCTCTCTCACACACCCACCTTTTATACTTAATGGACAAAAATTGCCTATATTTATGATGTATAATGTAATCTTTTAAAAATATGTAAGCAGACATTGAGAATGGCTAAATCAGGCTAACATGTATTATCTCACATGCTTGCCATTTTTTTTCTGTGATGAATACACTTAACAATCGTAACTATTTTCAAGCATAGAAAACATTGTTAATGACTATAATCACTATTTTCAAGACAGATCTCTTAAAGTTATTCCTCATTCTAAGCTGAAATTTTGAATCCTTTTACAACATCTCTCCATCCCCCCACCCCCTAACCCTGCCTTTGCAAATGGATTCTAGAGTGAGCTGTGTGTGTCTTGCTGAAAGTTTGGTGATAATTGCTATAAAGCTATTGATCAATTTTGAGAAAAAGTACATCTTTGCTATGTTGAATCCTTGAATCCATGAACACAATTTCTCTCTCCATTGATTTAAGTATTTGATTTATTTCATCAGCATTTTTCAGGATATGTATTCTATACATGTTTTGTTAACGTATACCTAAGTATTTCATTTCTTTAGAACAAATATATATTGTAATGTTATTGGTTAATTGTAAATGGTATTGTTAAATCAGTGAGTGTTTTCTTGGAGAAATCCCCCCAAAAGACAAAATCAAGAAATGTAGGATAGAGGGGTCGGTGTTATGGCATAGCTGGTAAAGCCACTGCCTGTAGTTCTGGCATCACATATGGGTGCTGGTTTGAGTCCTGGTGCTACTCCACTTCTGATCCAGCTCTCTGCTGTGGCCTGGGAAAGCAGTGGAAGATGGATCAAGTCCTTGGGCCCCTGATCCTGCTTGGGAGACCCAGAAGAAGCTCCTGGCTCCTGGTCTCCTGGTTTCAGATTGGCACAGCTCCGGCCGTTGCGGCCAATTGGGGAGTGAAACAGTGGATGGAAAACCTCTCTCTCTCTCTCCTCTCTCTCTCTTTCTGTCTCTCCTTCTCTCTCTGTCTCTCCTTCTCTCTCTGTGTAGCTCTGACTTGCAAATAAATAAATCTTAAAAAAAGGAAAGAAATGTAGGATATAAACAGATCCAAGAAATCTGTTGATCATATTTGAGGTTTTGTTTAATAATTCACCTTCCTATCAAAGGATGTAGAAATGAAGTACCATCCTATGAGGCTAGAGACCAATCACAAGCTCCAAATGGAGAGCTTTAATTATTCTTTAATTCAGTATCTCCTCTTCTTTAATTCTATATCTGAGCCAAGTGACCATCATTCACTTCCCTGAGGTTTTCTTTTATTATAATATGAGAATAATTATGCTTTTTGAAACAAATAATGCTAAATAGATGCAATTAAATGAAATGTAATACCATATGTGAAAGTATCAATCACATAATAAATAAGAAAAGTTTCTTTCTTTCCTTTCCACCTCTCCCTTCCTCTGCCCTTCACTCCCTCCCATTTTCTTCACTTCCCTTCTCTCCCCTTAATTCATGATTTATGCCACCTGACCACTCCTTTATGGTGAGTGGAGACTCTTTGTTCCCATATAGGATAGATCCTGAGTCTATTGCTTGAATAACTGGACAAGAGACTGACTTCTTTGTGCCCAATTCATCTCCCAGAATGCCTCCTCTGCCATCACACTTCATTCTGCTGTATGATGCAGTGATGATGATTATGAAACTAGGAAGTCTGTTTCTTCTATTCCAATTCTTTATGCTCAGCTGTTCCGTGAGTTTGCATGCATAAAAGCAACATTTCCTTGTTTTGTGAAAGGAAAATTGTCTATAGTACTTAATCAACTTGAGTGGGGCAAATGGGAATGCCTTTAGTAGGCACTGGAAGCCCTCAGGCCCAATGCCTGAGAAATCCTCAGACCCAGTGCAGAGAAGCAACCTTATAGTTTGATGCAGAGACTTCCCTGAAATTCTTGGGTTGAAGCCAGAGAAATAGATCCAGGTGCCAGATCTTGCAAGATGGAATCCATAGACAAGGAAACACCCAGTCCAACCCCAGCCTTGAAAGATACCTCATGAGAAGAAGCATTTTGTTAGAAATCTGTTCATTTTTACATTAGAAATAAAAATACCTCTTTGGGCCAGCACCGTGGCTCAATAGGCTAATCCTCTACCTGCGGCGCCGGCACCCCGGGTTCTAGTCCCGGTCGGGGCGCTGGATTCTGTCCCGGTTGCCCCTCTTCCAGACCAGCTCTCTGCTGTGGCCAGGGAGTGCAGTGGAGGATGGCCCAAGTACTTGGGCCCTGCACCCGCATGGGAGACCAGGATAAGCACCTGGCTCCTGGCTTCAGATCAGCGTAGTGCGCCGGCCGCAGCGCGTTGGCCTCAGCGGCCATTGGAGGGCGAACCAACGGTAAAGGAAGACCTTTCTCTCTGTCTCTCTCTCTCACTATCCACTCTGCCTGTCCAAAAAAAAAAAAAAAAACCTCTTGGAGTTATATTGGGTTGAGATGCAGAGAACTACTAGAAATAAAACTTCAAATAGCTATTACTTTTTCATAGCTAGTTTCTCTTCAAGGGCTGCTTGTACCAGTGATAATTTCTGTCCTGGAGTTCTCCCTTTCAGGTTCTGTTAGTGGAAGTCATGAGGATAAGTTTAGAGTGAAGGGTCCTCTGCCAGATTCTTGCCAAATAGCTGACTGGCCCACCCTGTGCTCGTTTCTCTTGGTTGCTGCTGGGGACTCCTGCCTAATGCCCTGGCCACAGTGCATTCCCCTATGCCAATTTTCTCCTCTTCTTTCTCCAGCAAGGATTGAAAATAGTTCACCACGCTGAGAAGACACTATCCAGTTTCTGCAAGTGGCAGAAGAGCATCAATCCCAAGAGTGACCTCAGCCCTGTCCATCACGATGTGGCCGTCCTCCTTACCAGGTACACCAGAGACTACGTGGAACCCAGGGACCGCAAGGGAGGGAAGGCTGGCACTTTAAAGACTTCCCAGGGACTCAAGCCCATGCGATTCTCACTGCTCTTGGACATTTGTAAAGGTAGTAGCAATGCTCCTTCTAGTCAGTTCCTCACTCCCATGCCAGGGGAGGAGGCAGGTTAACAAATTTGCTAATGTGGCAAAGCCCAAGTTCTTCTTGTTAAGAAACTGCATCACCTGGAAAAAGGCAGATCTTTTTCCTTCCCCAGTAATGACCTCATCTTTAAAACTGGCTTCTTTGTGCAGCATTATCAATACTCAGGAAGTTTGTTTATAAATCCTCATCAGAGACTCCTGTATTTTGACCAATGGAATGTCCAATGCTTTATTTTTATTTTTTTTAAATTCTGTCTGATTTTATAACATGCAGCTATAATACAGAAATTACCTTTTGTAAGCCATCCTTGACTGTTGCTGAGGACAGGATATAGTAAATATGTCCTCCCCTAAATAGAAAGTGGTTTGTTACAGCTTTCTGCCTTTTGTCCCCATGAAAATATGATTTTGGTCAGATCACAGATGAAGCCTATTGTGCTATAAAGAACCACAGGAGTCATAGCAATGAAAAGCCAGTGAACTTTCTGATAAAACTGGGCTCCCTGAAGTCTGTTTGCTCATTAATTCAGTAAGTATTTATTGAATACCTACTATATATCAGGCACTATTTTAATCTAGACAAGAGAAAGGCTTCCATTATCATGGGGAAAAGTAAGCTATCCATGGATTCCTTACACAGATTCAGAAACATCCAGAAATTCAGGGGTGTGTAGTAGAGGAGACTCTTCAGCCACAGAGAACCTAGAGCCTCGAGGGCTTATATTCAATGGCTATACCAACCTACTCATAGGGAGCCACTTATCTACCTAAAGTGCCATAGAGTCTCACAAACCTGCTGCTAGAGGTTTATGCCAATGACTCCCCTTGGAATAGATTTTCACTTTACCAGGTTTTAATACTTTAAAGTCAAAGGAATGATTCTGATAGTTGGAGTTTCGGAACAAGGTAAGGAAGACATTTGGATGGGATGGGGATTATTTTTTAATTAATTAATTAACTTTCATTTTTATTTGAAAAGCAGAGAAATAGAGACATAGAGATCTTCCATCTACTAGTCCATTCCCTAAATGCCTGTGGTGATTAGGGCTGTGCTAGGCTGATGCCAGAATCTTGGAACTCAATTTGGGTCTCCCATGTGGGTGGCAAGGGACCCAAGGGCTTGAGCTATCAATTCCTGCCCCCCCTACCCCCAGTTTGTACATTAGCAGGAAACTGGATCAGAAGTGGAGAAGCAGGGACTGGAATCCAGCACTTCAGTATAGGATGTGAGGGTTGTAAGCAGTTACTTAGCTGCTGCACCAAACACCCACTCCTGCAGACTGATTATCATTTCCAATAGACACCCTCTGCACTACAGTGATTCTGTCAAAGGGACAGATGACACAACCAAGGAATTTTGGGGTAGTCTGTCCTTAACAAGGACGACACACACCTAGGGCCTTCCTAGACCATGGAGGTTATTTCAAGTTCAAAAGTTCTCAACTTCAACTCAATTGATATTTTGGCCTGGATAATTCTTTGTTATGAGGAATTGTCCTGTGCATTGTAGTATATCTAGCATCTCTGGAAGTAACACTCTATTCCAAGTTGAGATAACCAAGATTGTCTTCAGACATTGCCAAATGTGCCCTAGGAAGGAGCAAAGAGAAAAGCAGCACTGCACTATCTACTGTTCCCCTACCCACATTTAAAATTGATCTAAAAATACAAGTAGTAGCAAGGAGGAAAGGAGATATGACAGAAGCTTTGCCTTTATGAGACTATCCTGAGATCCACATCAACAGAATTCTGTATAGAGTAGAAAGTGGATTTAGCTTAGAACATGCCCTATCTGTGATCCACATGTGCAGTTAAAGTTACATATTGAGGCATATTTGCTCTTAAATAATGACTTCTCTTCCTGTAGAAGGTAGAGATAATCTGCTTTTGGAAGATTAAGATTTGCCCACAAGAACCATATTCTTACAATTATTTTGTTCCTCTCCCCCTTTTCCTCTTAGTGATGCACACTTAGTAGATACTTTAAAAATAATTATTTAATGGACCTGACCTCCTGTTGTACCAAAAGGAAAAGACAATGAGCATCCTTCATCTTTTCTCAGAGGCTTCATGCAGACCTGGATTTATTGAGTGAAATACTATAAACATATCCTGCAGCAGAGCTGGAAAAGTGTTTGATTGTTCTTACAGTCCCAGAAGTAATTTCAATGATCAGGCTGTATGGCTAGCACAACCCAGAAACTACATCAGTGAGAGGGGGATTCATGTCTGTGGTGCACATGCTGAACCCAGGGCTACTCTCTTTTGTCCCGTTGTCTCAGCTATTGCCACCTTCTTCATGGCCCAATGGACACAAATAGCAGGACAGCATTTATTGCTAGAAGTGGTACCAATGCAAACACCATGAGTGGATCATTTGCATCTCACTAAAGTTCCAAACTTCATTGACATTTATTTGTGCTACACTCTTGGCAAAAAGCTCTTATGGAACTAAAATAAAACAAATGAGTAATTAATGACTCAAAATTCTTGTTGGGGATTGAAATGAACTCATCAATATATGGGAACGTATTTATATATGAAAGTTGTCACTAGTATCTTCCGAGGTCTTGGAATTCTTTACTTTCTTTTTCCTTGGCTAGGCAATATTGAATCATGGTGTAAGGAGCAAACAAGATGCCAGGGAGTGTATGTGTGTGTATGGGCATGTGTGCTTGCTCACATCTCTTGGACAAGCAATATTGTTAGTGTAATGGGGCGGGTAGACAATTGGTTTAGCCTCTGAATAGGTTGATGGGACCAACTGACATTTTCATGAATGAAAAACATTCTCAGATGAGTTTTGAGCACCAACCTCAGAAAAACCAAAAAAGAGCTTCATATTTATATTTATTTACATTAATATTTTATTCATATTTGAAAGACTCAGACTCTGATAATTACCCATTCTCTATTTAAAAGTTCAAATTAGGTGCTTTAAAAAATATTTAGTTACCTATTTGAAAGAGTTACATAGAGAAAGGGAGAGAGAGAGAGGGAGGGAGAAACAGAAAGCTCTCATCTGCTGGCTCACTCCCTCCAGATGAAGCCAGGAATCAAAAGTTTCTTCCAGGTCTCCCATGTGGGTGGCAGGGGCCCAAACACTTGGGACATCTGCTGCTGCTTTCACAGGCCATTAGCAGGGAGTTAGATCAGAAGTGGAGCAGACGGGACACATACCGGTGCTCATGGGGGATGCCAGCATTCCAGGCAGTGATTTTACATGCTATGCCACAACACCATCCCCTCAAACTGTTTAATTTTCAATAAAATCTTTCCCTTGGCCAAATCATATAATTTGGTCTATTGAGATTAAGAACAAAAGCAACTCAAAATGAAACATTTGCCATGATTCCCCACATTTTAAAAATGCTGGTGAGACAAATAACAAAGGAGAAGAGAACTAATTTCAGTAAGGTTGAAGATGAGCCTTTGCAGCTAAGCATGTTCAGGCAAAAGACATCAGATTGCCTAGTGGTTGACGAGGAGCTCTGACTTTGCTTCTTGTCTTTTATATCTCCTTAGCCTATAAAACCTGTTACTTTAAGTAAGAAACCAATCTAAGAATTATGTAAATCATAGGCATATCAATTAAACTTACAAATAGGCTTTGGGGGGTGTGATACAACTTGAGTCTTAAATTGGAAGAGTTTCTGTATAAAGGATAATTGATTATGAATAGAATATAGCTAATAAGTAATAAGTAAACTGAAATAAACTGACCTCTTTAGGGAGTTATCCTGACTTGGGTTACTTATAACTAAGATATAATTACAGAAGCCCTAACACAATTTTATGGCTCATGTTAAATGAGTATGAAACATGAAAATTGTTGAAAGCTAGAATTGAATGTTTAGATTGGCTGAAGTACTAAAGCTCCTGCAATTTTAGAAGTCACAAGTTACATTAGCTGCCTTCTGAGTTGAGTATAATACTGAAATGAGTCACCCTGACCCGCATGTATAATGATTACAACTATTCTTTAGAGGTCACTGTTGATAGTTGGTGATATTTTTTTTTTTTGAAAGGCAGAGTGGACAGTGAGAGAGAGAGACAGAGAGAAAGGTCTTCCTTTGCCGTTGGTTCACCCTCCAATGGCCACCATGGCCGGTGCGCTGCTCCGATGGCAGGAGCCAGGTGCTTCTCCTGGTCTCCCATGGGGTGCAGGGCCCAAGCACTTGGGCCATCCTCCACTGCACTCCCTGGCCACAGCAGAGAGCTGGCCTGGAAGAAGGGCAACCGGGACAGAATCCGGAGCCCCGACCGGGGATAGTTGGTGATAATTTAAGGAAACATCTAAAGAGTTTCTATGTTTTAAGAAAAAAATGCTAGTGAGATTCGATCATCTAGAGGTGAACTCAGATTAATCTTGATAAATTAAATTGCTCCCTATACTCATATAGACTTTAAAAATTTTAAAGCATATTTTAAAGACTATTAAATGTGAATTGATGTTCATTTTTTTCCAAGATGCTTTTTAGAGGTTTTCTTGGGCACTTAAGTATCTCTGTTTTCTGATTGCAGAAAAGACATCTGTGCTGGTGCCAATCGCCCCTGTGAGACCCTGGGTCTGTCTCACCTGTCAGGAATGTGCCAGCCTCACCGGAGTTGTAACATCAATGAAGACTCTGGACTCCCACTTGCTTTCACCATCGCCCATGAACTTGGGCACAGGTAAAGGGCCAAGGAATTGAAGATCTATCTACCTGCCCTGTAGTAGCATCAGTGTCATGAGAGGGAATGGAAAACACTTTAAACTGGTGGGAAAGAGGTTCAGATTTCTCTCAGGCTTGAGCCTCATCCTCCTAGACCTCCACTTCTTCATCTGTGAAATAGGTACAGTCACATACTCCACAGTGTCCCTTATCTCCTCTGCCCTGACCACTGGAGGCCATCTACATCACAAGATCAAACCACTGTAATCCTATCTAGTAGAATGAGGTCAACATGAAGAGATAAGTTTTAACTCAGTTTTAAGTTCAGGAATAAACCCTGATTAGTTCTTGGAAATGATAATATCATTAAAAGACAAAAACTTAACATTTTTGCATCCTTACTTTATGCCATTGTGATTTGAATTCACTGCATTAATGAATCCTTATAACAACCTTATGTAATAGATATCTATCACTAGTGATCTATTTTACTTACATGTATTAAATGAGAACATTGAGTAAATAAGAATTTGAAAATTGCTATAAACTTAGAAAGATTATCACACAAATACCAGTTAACAGAATGTCTAACTTATCACAAAAATGTGTGAATTTGATGAGATGAATTGCTGAAAGGCAGGTTTCATGAAGGTGTAAGGAGGATTCTGAAGTCACCAAGTAGCAGGATTATTATGGAGAAAAGATCTCAGCTTATTTGAAACTTCCTTTGTCGATATATTTGCTAATCATAAACATAGAACATTATACTAATTGGAATCTCAGTGGGGGAGCTATGGAAGGAGCTGAGGTATACTCCCTGCCCGTTATGTAAGTTACGTTGCTGCATGTCCTCCCTATAAAGAAGGAAGAAAACTGCCAAGGCATTCCCTGAGTGCACAGCTGGAAAAGAGGGATGCCCGGGAAGAACGCTAGAGAATGGATTGTTCCAATCCTGGCCTTTTCAACCTGGCTTCACTCACATTTTTTTTCATATAACATTTGAACTATTCAAAATATTTTTTTTGCATTGCAAAGCCAGATCATTGCCTTGAAAATTGGAGAAAGTGAGAGTGTGCTCTGACATCTCCATTGAACAGATAAATCCCTTCACCTCTCTACAATTGTTTCTTCATCTGAAAAATGAATGATTTGAACTATGCAATTTTTTAGGTACTATGATTTATTATATATTCACAAAAATAATCCCAGAGATAAATGTGATATATTCTGGTTTCCTTAGAAGTCAAGAATTCAGAGAAAGAGCAGGTAAGTGAATTACTTGTAATTAAATTATTGAGAATTGGGGGCGATACAACAGAATACTAATTTTGAAAAGGCAAGGCCATGATTATTGGCATGTTGATGCTTGGAAACACGGGGTAGATGTTTAACCTCATGGCTGAGATTTCTATATCCCACAGCAAAGAACCAAGGTCCAATTCCCAGTCCTGACTTAGTTTCATGTTAATGCAATCTCTGGGAAGCAACAGTGATGGTTCAATTAACTGGGTTCCTACCACACATCTCTTATTCAACAGTTTTAAATGTTTCAGCCAGTGCAAGAGATGAAAATACATGATGTACAGATTGCAAAGGGGGAAACAAAACTATCCCCATTTGCAGATTTCATCATTATAATTGTAGAAAACCCCATGGAACACACACAGAGATTGGGGGGAGGATTAAAATGAACTTGTGAAGCTCATAGGATACAATTTAAACATACAAGACAGTTTTAAACTGTTTATAGAAAATAAAATTAAATTTATTTGGGTGCAAGACATTTTTTGAAATCCATGGAAAATGTTATGAAAAAAACCTAGGAGTAGTTCTCAAAAAATTTTACATCAAAATAAATGCCTTTTAATTCTATATTTCCTTGCACCTTTTGAAATACTTCATATAAAATCCAGTCATATTCTCATAGCCTAGCAATGAACAGTTGAACACAAATTTAAAATTCTTTTACAATCACTCAAAATTTTATTTTGGACTTCAGGCTTCCAGAACTCTGGGAGAATGAATTTCTATTATCTTAAACTTCTAAGCTTATGATAATTTTTATGGAAGTTCTAGGAAATTAATATATCATACTGCCAACAAAGGATTAGTTATCTAGAATATATAAGCAACTTTCAAAACTGAACAGTAAAAAAGCAACAATAAAATTAGAAAATGCGCAAAAGACAGGAAGGGACATTTCAATACAAAAGATATGCGGCTGTCAAATAAGCACGTTAAAATGTTCAGCATCATTAGCTAACAGGAAAATGCAAATTACAGCTACCACAATTAGATAATGCTGTATAACTATGAGAATGTCTAAAATAATCCAAAAAAAAAAAAAAAAAAGAGGTGATGACACTAAATACTGCTGAAGATGTTGAGAAACTAGATCACAACTGCACTGCTGGTGAGAATGTAAAACAGTACAAGAACTGTGCAAAACATTTTGGCAGTATTAAAAATAAACAATCTGCAACTATCATATGCTCTTAGGCATTTTTTAGAGATTTATTTATTTTTATTTGAAGGGTTGAGAGAGTGTGCACCCATCCATGGATTCACTCCCCAAATGCTGATAATGAATGGAAATTCATTCACATGAAGAACCTTCAAAAATTTCATGGAAAATGTGTATTATGAGAATTTATAGGAATGGATTTTTTCCCATGAGCTTTTTGATAGATCCTTATATATGAATACTTTCAGCATTAGCTTTTTAAGGCAATATCTACCTGATACCCTCCCCTTTCTAGATCTTGGGTATTTTGTGTATAGAACTTTGCTTGTTGTCTATGCAAAATTGACATTCCTGAATGCATTAGAAAAGCTCACATTTACACTTTCCTGGTTAATATTCTCTGTTGGGTTCACCTTATGGAAAAGAGTAATAAGAGACAAAGGATGCATGTATCCCACCAAGTGATACATTGAAATTGGGCGAGTACTCACCCTAAAGGAATTGCAACAACAAAGATGAAGTAAGGCATGCTGATCTGACAATGCACAGGGCTGCCTTCAGGTTGCATTCCTTATGCTAGAAAGTAGCTTCCTAAGAGCAAGCCTTCTATCCTGGGGGTCCTATGTGCTTCCTCATCCTTTCTAATGTTAGTGATCCTGGTCCATGGAACAGGACTGCTCCACTGGTTTGGAGAGACAGAGACCAGAGGACATTGGTTTACTAGCACTGCTCTTCTCTCACAAGATTAGAGTACAGAGAATGATAGAGCTGGCAGGGAAGATGCTTTCAAGAAACCTCAGATGGAACAATAGTGCTCGGGGGAGAACTGATATGAGCGTAGGTTTGAAGCTTCTCTCACAGGATCCAGCCATATAGCTTGGTATGTTAGAATATCCACTGCTACAAAGACTGTTACTTATGTTGATTTTTAGAACCTTGCTTACACTTTAGGATTTTTTACTAGCTGTTGAACAGGTGCACTTGTGGGGTAGTTCATGAGTTGTACAGCCCTGAATTTTCAGCAACTTGGGAAGACTTGCTCAGAAGGAAGCTTTCACTGAACCACATTCTTTGGGGATGGGTGGTAAGAGCTTTGTAGCTTCATTCTCTGACTCCTTTGTTTTGTAAGCATGTGGGATGTGATTAGGCTTTGTCAATAATACCACTTACAAAAATAGAAAAAAATCTCTTAGCCCCCTAAAGACTATTCTCTGCATGAGCTGCTAATGCTGATAAGAAGATTGAATCAAAGTTGGATGTGAACTTCCATTTCAGAGGGGTTTGAGTTTCACTAGGAAGAGTTACAGGTCATACTTTCCTCAGCTTAGATTGGAAATTTGAGTCCATGTCTCCAGGTTGTCAGTGTCTATACACAGACCCCTGTGGAGAGAGTTCTTATGGAAATCCTCAGAAGGCATGTTGAGGTGGTACTGAGGGCATAGCTGATAATGAACTCCTCTGAGCTGACTTCATTTCCAGGCACACCTTGTGCTAGTGGATGCTTAAGCTCTTGGGGGCATTTCTTTTTTTTTTTTAATTTTTTTTTTTGACAGGCAGAGTGGACAGGCAGAGTGGACAGTGAGAGAGAGAGAGACAGAGAGAAAGGTCTTCCTTTTGCTGTTGGTTCACCCTCCAATGGCCCCGCGGCCGGCACACCACGCTGATCCGATGGCAGGAGCCAGGTACTTATCCTGGTCTCCCAAGGGGTGCAGGGCCCAAGCACTTGGGCCATCCTCCACTGCCTTCCCAGGCCACAGCAGAGAGCTGGCCTGGAAGAGGGGCAACCGGGACAGAATCCGGCGCCCCGACCGGAACTAGAACCTGGTATGCCGGCGTTGCAAGGCGGAGGATTAGCCTAGTGAGCTGTGGCGACGGCTGGTATTTCAAGGGCGTACATCTGGTCATCCTTGGACTCTGAAGTCCTGGAGCAGACCAACAGACACCTGGATGAGAACATTGAGTTAGGAAAACAAAGATCTGATCCAAGACCTGGTTTTGCCCCTAAGGGGCTGCATGACTTGACAACTGTTAGTCTGGACTCCATCATCTGCATAAGGAAAGTAAGTCAGATGATGACAAAAGCAACAATTTAAAAATTTCTGTTATTTATGAATCCTTATAATGTGCCAGGCACCTTGCTATGTGGTTTTCAAACTTTATTCCATGCAGACATTGTCCTAGCATGGTGACATTATTCCAGTTTCTAGGAGAAGAAAACAAGACAGCTTCAGTATCTCACAGATCATTCTGTGGCAGAGCTAGAATTCAGACCCAGACCCTTTGCTTTCAAAAACCTAGGTTTTAACAAAACTGTGACATCTCTCCAATATGGTTGCTGTTGGAAGACTCTAGCAGCAATTGCAGAAAGAAACCCACCCTCTGCAAATTTGTGGTCTTTGACACAGTCTCCTAAATGCATCTCCTTTCACGTTCTGCCTTCGATTACAGGGCAAAAGGAAAAGGGAGGTTTTGTTTTCTTTTGTACTGTGGTTGCTGATGCAGGAAGAAGCAGATGTCTTGGGGGCAGGATTTGCCCACCTGACTCTAGATGCACAGAGAGCTAGACTGCGAGCTTTTAGCTTTCTGCTAAACAAGTTCCTGAATGAACCCCATGGCTCCCATTGTCATGTTTGAGGGAAAGGCATCCGTACACCATTCCTTGTGTTTTTTAGTTTAAAAATTAGCTATGCCTCTCTCACCTCAAAACCTAACTTGTAAGCAGTTGCTCTCTGTGGATTATTTTCACCTTGGAGAAACTGTCATTTTTCTCTTTGCCAGTTTCGGCATCCAGCATGATGGGAAAGAAAATGACTGTGAACCTGTGGGCAGGCATCCCTACATCATGACCCGCCAGCTGCAGTATGATCCCACTCCACTGACCTGGTCCAAGTGCAGCAAGGAGTATATCACTCGCTTCCTGGAGTAAGTGAGAGAGTATCAGTGTATCTCAAGACAGCCTGTCTTCAGTCTCTTTAAATTGGAGGTTGGGTTGAGTTTTGCACAAAGGAGCTGATGCCTAGAAAAGGCTGGCTCAACTCCCCCCACCCCAAGACCACTGCAGGGTGGCATCAAAAGGAGTAGATTTCATTTTCGCTTTCTGATCCTGAGGTGGAGATGGGCTCTGCCACAGCCAGGTGAGCCACCTGTCTATCCTCTCCTGATTACTCCCGCCTCAATATGACTTTTTATAATTTGATTGTGAATCAAGACCTTGGGGATTGGTAGGATCAACCAGGACAGTTACAAGTGATCAGTCAACGCTGCTAAGGGTAAAATAATGATTTTCTGATTTTACCACCGCTTATATTTGCTACATAATAACTAAACTTATGGTGCATGATATTATTTTTACTACTTTTTATTAACTCCCTCTATGGCCCAATAACAATATAAACAAATATAAACAAGATAAAACAAATATAATCACCTTATAACAATAGAGTTGTCTTGAAGGGCAAAGAAAAAGGGTGGATGTTTTTGTTGAATGTAAGGTTGAAGGGAATTGTAAGAAACTGCTGTCATTTCTATTAACATTTTCAGCCGAGGCTGGGGATTCTGTCTTGATGACATCCCCAAAAAGAAGGGTTTGAAGTCCAAGGTCATTGCCCCTGGAGTGATCTATGATGTCCACCACCAATGCCAGCTGCAGTATGGACCCAATGCTACCTTCTGCCAGGAAGTAGAAGTAAGTGTTGAGTACCTTTGTGTCTTTGCTGCACATGTGCAGGAATTATCTCCAGCATGCTAAAGGTAAGCGTAGGGGGCATATTTGGAAATCTGAAGATCAAGACATGGAAAAGGGGGCTTCATATTTATGGCAAGGTGTCCATGAGGCAGAAGGATCAAGTTGGGGTTATTTATTTATTTATTTATTTATTTTATTCTGACTTCTTGGAATACTGTGGAGCCTGCAATCATTGACAATTGAGTGGTTGTTAAGCCAGCTCCATAGACATTTTAAAGGATCCATAGTGATGCCTGCAGACTCTGTGGCAACTAATTTAATCCCTGAAGTTGCTGATTCAGAGTACCATCAGATTACAAGGCAGGTGTAAAATTCATCCCCAATTCATTCTTTATTTTCAACCTCCAGATGATAAATCAAGCCCTGATATTCTACCATCTAAATAGCTTGTGGCACTGTCCTATCTTCATTGTCACTGGTACTGTCTTGATTCAATCTCTCATAATCTTTCTTTGCTATTGTTATTGCCTCCTACATCTCTCTCCCATGCAAATTGTTTCTCAAATTATTTTTTAAAAACACTCAGACACACAAATATAGCCATGGCTCTTCTCTGCTCTTGGAGTCCCTACTGAGCACAGAAGGTCCCAGTTCCTTGTGTGACATTCCTTTGTCATCCGGGCTTTGTCTATTCCTGAAATCACCTGTCTCAGTGCAAACATATCAATTTTAATACATAGATATTAGTGAGGTGAGTCCTTCTGAATCCCTGCCAGATTCTGTGCTATGCACTGAATATGATGAAAATGATGAGTACTCCAAAGTCAGTAAGACAAAGCCTCTGCCCTCATGAAACTCGTGATGGAACTTCTGATGGAGGAAACAGATATAAAAGGTGCAATACCCTGATATAAATGCCAAGAGACATGTAGGAAGAATGTGGAGGATAAAGTAAATAACTGTGTATAGATAGAATAATAAAAACGTATTGGAGAACAGAAAGTTGGTCCAAAAATCCCTCACCCCTCATTTCTAAATGGTTACCACATAATTCCGATTTTGCCTCCTAAATATCTGTAAAATATCTTTATTCTTCATGACTGCAGTAATTCCCTATTGCTCTCTCTAAAATCTCAATACCTTCCCTCAGCTCTGATCCTTCCCTCAAAATGCAGCCAAAGTGACTTTGATAAGTGGAAATCTGATTGGATTTCACAGCTTCTTCATTCCCTTGCAATAAACTTAAAATTCTCTAAAATGCATAAAAGGAGACTTCTCTAGCTTCATTCTGTGTCTTCCTGTCTGGCCTCATCTCTTCAAATTTTTTTAGCCTCTGTTCTCTAAGCTGATATTGTTATTATGTGTAGTAAACTTTACCACTGTTCTTTCTTATCTTGAAACCTCTTTCATGTATTTTGCCTCTTATTTCTTAAATTTGTGTAATTTCGTTATCAGTCTTCTCGTTTACTAGTTTCCTCTTCAGGTATGTCTAATCTTTCAACCAGTCTATTGACTTTTTAATTTCATTTATTACTATTTCTTATAAATATTTTGGGTTATTTTTCCATGTTTCCTCTGTTTTATGGCATATTATTCCTAGTGGAGACTTTCTATATGAGATGTATTTCTTTAATCATATATAATGTGTATTTTTCAACTTATGTTAGGTAATTCCGATGTCCACATCTATGTTTGTATATTTCTCCTACATGGGATTTTTTTTAGCTCTGACTTACTTGCCATTATTGGCTTTTGTGATTTTTGCTGTCATTGTAAGTTCTTAGTTATAAAATGTCATGTTAGGGTTTTCTTTATGGTTTAGATGATTGGATCGTTCTCTTGGAATTTTAATTACCATTGCTGGATCAATTTAAAATAATTTATTGGTTTGATATTGTGTTGACTGCATTAGTGGTATGAGGTGTGACACGGATACAAATTCCAGAGGTGGTATTTTACCACTCCTTCTAGAGTGAAAGTTAAAACAGACATTTTCTGACTGTATACCCTGATTTTTGGTTTACCTTTCACTTAAGTGGTAGTCTTTTGAGGTTATGACCTTAAATGGTGGTCTCCAATAGTATATATTAGATTGATATATATTGGATGTACGTATGTGTGTGTGTGTGTGTGTGTGTAATATATGGCACTCTACAGCTTCCTACCCTCCACAGATCATGGGCATTTTCTCCACTAGCCATCTGAGCAATAAATCTAAGGTCTAGATCACTCAGTTTGCATTTCTAGATGCAAATTTCTAAACATTTCTGTTATATTTTTAGCCTCTGAGAGTTTTTGTTACTATCTTGCTAACTCAAGATACATCTTAAAACTTTAAAATATTTTATCCACAGTTTTAGTTCTATAAAGGTAAATGTTTATCAGAGTATCCTGGTGTTTATTGGAAAGATTCTGCTCTAGCCATCTCTGGTCAGTTTTTCTTTTACACTCTGTATTTATCCAGGTTAATCAGCCTCCACTCTCTGAAAGTGTTGGATTCTCCGCTACACAAGGAATTTCTGTGCTCTGGTTCCCTTCTACTCATCGTTTAGATCTCAGCCCAAACATCACTTCATATCCTATTCTGAAATTTCTTTGACAGTACTTTTATTAGACTGTATTGCAATTGCTTGTTTACTTGCTCTTCCCTACTCTATTGCAAGCTCTCTGAGGGAATGTTTATCTCTTACAGCCAACAGTGCTCAGCACATATTAAACATTCAATAGATAAGTGAATAAAAATGTCAGATCCTGCATATTGTAACCAAGAGAACTGGTCATTTTCAATAGTATAAGTGCTAAAATATGAGATCCTTCTTTATTACATTTTTCTAAAATTTTGAGATAGGTTACCACTCAAAAGGAGTTGTAAAACTACTACAAAGATTTCCTGTGTGCCCTTCACCTCGTTCTTTTTTTTTTTTTTTTTTTTTACAGGCAGAGTGGACAGTGAGAGAGAGACAGAGAGAGAAAGGTCTTCCTTTGCCGTTGGTTCACCCTTCCAATGGCCGCCGCTGCAGCCGGCGCACGCGCTGATCCTGGCAGGAGCCAGGAGCCAGGTGCTTTTCCTGGTCTCCCATGGGGTGCAGGGCCCAAGCACCTGGGCCATCCTCCACTGCACTCCCTGGCCATAGCAGAGAGCTGGCCTGGAAGAGGGGCAACCGGGACAGAATCCGGCGCCCCAACCGGGACTAGAACCCGGTGTGCCGGCGCCGCAAGGTGGAGGATTAGCCTATTGAGCCACGGCGCCGGCTCAGAAAGGTCTTCCTTTTGCCGTTGGTTCACCCTCCAATGGCCGCCGTGGCCGGCGCGCTGCGGCCAGCTCACCACGCTGATCCGAAGCCAGGAGCCAGGTGCTTCTCCTGGTCTCCCATGGGGTGCAGGGCCCAAGGACTTGGGTCATCCTCCACTGCACTCCCTGGCCACAGCAGAGAGCTGGCCTGGAAGAGGGGCAACCAGGACAGAATCCGGTGCCCCAACCGGGACTAGAAGCCGGTGTGCCGGCGCTGCAGGCGGAGGATTAGCCTATTGAGCCATGGTGCCAGCCAGCACATCGTTCTTTATAAATGCATTATAAAAGGATAAATAAGATTTTTTTAATTACTCAAGGAGGAACACACTAAAAGGCAAATGATAAGAGTGAACAGATGCTAAGACTGCTGTGGAGATAACCAAAATACTTTGGTTTGGGTATCTAGTGACAACAGATGAAAATATATTCACTTTGGACAGGACAGAGAATTACACTTGAGGCCCCAGATGAAGGCAGGAACCTTGTAAAGTGTGCCTCAATGATGCAATGAACCAAAAGAAATACACCATCACAGGGAGAAGACAGAGAAGCATCTTTAATCTCAGACTGTGTTTTCATGAGAAAATTGCTAGTAAATAATTCTCCCACTTGAAAATGCCTTACCATAGGCCACACTGATGATGATTTAAAGTTCAAGTTTGGGCCGGCGCCGTGGCTCACTCTGCCTGTGGCGCCGGCACTGCGGGTTCTAGTCCCCTTTGGGGTGCCAGTTCTGTCTGGTGTGGTGGCCATTTGGGGGGTGAACCAACGGAAAAGGAAGACCTTTCTCTCTTTCTCTCTCTCACTGTCTAACTCTGCCTGTCAAAATAAATAAATAAATAAATAAAGTTCAAATTTATACCCTTTTATGGTTCTGAAAACTTTTGTGCCAAAAATTAAATTAAAATGTTTCTTGCTGGGAAATGCAACAAATTTCAGGTTAAAAAATAAAGGCAAAATGCTTTGGTGGAGCCAATATTAAACTAAGAATGCAAAAACTCCAATAGTTAAAATATTTTATTCATGTAAGTTCGCAATTCATCCCCTAATCCAAAACTTAATCTATCTCCATCTAAATAAAGAGGAACACTAAACTCTCAAATTTCAATTAATTTGATTTTTAGATAGAGATAAGATAAATATGTAAAAGAAGAATGTATTATGATAAAAGGAAAAAAAACACTGTAAGATACATGTCAGGTAGATGTGAAAAGGATATACAACCTCTAGCTGCAAAAAATGGTCACCTACTAAACTCAGTGGATAAGTTAAGCAATCTTGACATGGTTGAGGAGAGAACCAGTCAGTTGGAATTTAGAGCTGAGAAAATTGTTTTCTATGTCATTTGTATGTTTCTCAGAGGCAGGTGATAGACCAACCTTTCCAGAAGGAAACTTAGAAGTATTCAACTTTCATACACAAGGAAATTAAGAAACAAAAATTATGAGGATGAAATTGGAATAGGAAGGACAGAGTAGGAAGATCTGTCAACAACATGAGTTCCAGTAGAAATGGATTGAGATTGTCAATAATTGGCAACATTTCTGGAGATATAGATGGAGAAACTTCTAAAATTACTTTAAAGTTATAAAATCTTATTATGAAAAAGCACATTTTATATAGTTTATGAGAAATGCTTGGAATTACAGAGGATGGGTGAGTAGAAGATAGCCTAAAATATGACTTAAAGAAGCTGAGCCATTCCAAATGACCTAAGAATCCTGTAGACATTTCCTTGTTCCCACAGAGATATAAATGAGAGAAGATCTAATTTGCTCCTTGTTAACTAAAACAAGCTAGCTCTACTCCGGGTAACAAGTAAGTAAGGCAAAGCTTTCTGGATGGAATAGATTCCACTTCCTTGGGAGAACAGGGTTGTAACCACCCCAGCTATTTGTAATCAGATTGCCTTCCAGCCACAGTTTAGTTTTTACCTTTGACAGATAGTGTCACCAGTAACCCTGCCCAAGGGCAAGGAGTATTAAATATTGTACTACAAATATGAAAATTAATTTCAACTTTTGGGAAATGAGTTTTATCTCTTCTTTTCATATTGGCAACATAGCCTGTAAACCATCATTTTTGAATGTTGAAACAGTCCAAATGAAGTTTCAGCTGGGACTTGTTGTGATTGCTTTCTTTCACTCTTACTCACTAACAACAGAGCATTTATTATGAGTGCATGGATGAGTGTGTATATTTTAATAGAACTATAGAGATGCTTTTGTACAACTTTTCAAAATATAAAAGAATGCATTCTCGTGTGTGTTTTCCAGAATGTTTGCCAGACACTGTGGTGCTCGGTGAAAGGCTATTGTCGCTCAAAGCTGGATGCTGCTGCCGATGGAACGCAATGTGGTGAGAAGAAGGTGATATATCAGGATGGGAAAGGAAAATACGAGGGCAGTGGGCTTACAGTTCTTGACCCTGGAGGGCAGCTCCCTCTGGGTGCAGAACAATGGCTGGAAATCAGACAATCAGATCAGCTAGAGGAAAAGAGACCCCTACCACCAATACTTGGGATCCCTCACCAGAAGCAAATCCTTAGGGGGACACGGCCAAGGTCAAACACCACACTCACTTGCAAAACACTTGTCCAGCCTTTTCCTAATAAAATTCTGTGGATTTTGTGATCAACAGCGTCTGCTGAGGTTATTATCAACCTTCACTTTGACATTTTTTCCCTCCATTGAATATTGGAAAGCACAAATCTTAGTCGTCTTTGTTCCCCAAATGTGTGCCACTTAGCATCTTCTTTCTCATGATTGGACTTTTTGACTATATTTCTTTTGTTGTCTACTTTTTAAAAATTTATACAAAGGGGACAAATTTCATGTCTTTCATATATACAGTTTTAACAGCATAATGATATTTCCCATCCTACCTTTCTTGCCTCCCTTACTCCCACCCTCTTCTTCATGTTTTTATTTTAATTTTATAATGACAAACTGTCAGTTTACTTTATAATCTCAAGATTAACCCTCCACTAAATAGAGAATTCAACAATTGATAAGTAGAAAAATCACTGTTCCTTAAGAGTATAGATAAGGGCTATAAACAATAATCAAATCTTAAAATGTCAATTTCTCTCATATACATTACACTTTTTATACCCTGTGTATTAGTTACCACAAATTACAGAAAACATATGATATTTATCTTTTTTGTGACTGCCTTATTTCTCTAAGCATAATGGTCTCCAGGTGCATACGTTTTGTTTTGAAAGACAGGGTTTCACTCTTTTTATGGCTTAGTAGTATTTTAGAGTGTATATATATCTTGATTTCCTTACTAGTCATCAGTTGATGCACATGTGAGCTGATTCCATCTTAGCTATTCTGAGTTGAACTGCTATAAACATGGGGGTACAGATGACTTTAATATGCTGATTTCATTTCCTTTGAGTAAATTCCCAGGAGTAGAATGACTAGATCATATGGTAGATAAGCCAGACACCCAAGAACTCAAATATCCTACAGGCTGCCTGACAACAGAGAATCATGCTACTCCGTTAAACTAACTGGGATTTTGTGGGCCTATGGCTTAGGTGTTTAGTATTTCCATTCAGCTTAGGTGTGGCACGATGCATCACTGATGCATTATATAACCTGGTCAAAATGGACAGCAGGGGCTGGTGCTGTGGTGCAGTAGGTTAATCCTCCACCTGAGGCACCGGCATGCCACATGGGTGCCGGTTCTAGTCCCGGCTGCTCCTCTTCTGATCCAGCTCTCTGTAATGGCCTGGAAAAGCAGTAAAAGATGGCTGAAGCACTTGGGCCCCTGCACTTGCATGGGAGACCTGGAAGAAGCTCCTGTCTCCTGGCTTCAGATCGGCTCTTCTCTGGCTGTCACGGCCATTTGGGGAGTGAACCAATAGATGGAAGACCTTTGTCTCTGTCTCTCCCTCTCATTGTCTATAACTCTACCTCTCAAATAAATAAATAAATCTTTAAAAAATGCACAGGGACCAGAAATCATGAGGAGACATCAGCAGATAAAATATGCCCAAATCCTCCCAGAAATGCAGGCAATTCTAGCCACCACATTGTATTTTCTTTAGATTTCATTTTTGTATGTTCACCCTCTTATTGAGAATTATAGAATTGCCTTCAGTAAGAGGGACATTGGAGTTTTTTTGAGTTACTTCAAATGACAGAACAATGAGTCTATTTAAAGGAAAATCATTTTTTTTTCTTGGTAAAAGAAAGACTACTCTAAAAACTAGTGATTTTTGGCAGTGAAGTAGACTTTTTGTGAATGCAAACATTAAAAAACAGAGGAAGCTGGTTGTAGGTCATTAATTTGTGACAAATATACTCATATGTATGGTATATTTTCTACATATATATTGTATATAACTATATAACAATATATTTTACTAATATAAGATTTTATAATAAGGGAAACTGAGTGTGGGATATGTGGGAAACATAGTACTACATGATTTTTGTTTTATAAATTTGAAGCTATTCTGAAATTAAAAGTTTAAAAATTGAAAGAACATTTTAAAGAATTCATTTATCCATGGAGTCTAAAAAGAAGGGCCCCTCACCATGTCAGTCTGGAAACTGCTATATCTGCAGCAAGATAAGGAGGAAATCAGCTTTGTAGCTGAACAGCTGGTGATTAAGCACACTCAGTTGACATGCTGATGCACATTCTGGCCTGCAACTTGCCAACTCCACTTTGCATAACTCTCCTGCATTGGCTTTTTTTTTAAATAGATTTTATTTATTTATTTGAGAGGTAGAGTTACAGACAGTGAGAGGGAGGGACAGAGAGAAAGGTCTTCCTTCTCTTGGTTCACTCCCCAAATGGCCACAATGGCCGGAGCTACGCTGATCTTAAGCCAGGAGCCAGGAGCTTCTTCCTGGTCTCCCCTGTGGCTGCAGGGGCCCAAGCACATGGGCCATCTTCTACTGCTTTTTCCCGGGCCACAGCAGAGAGCTGGACTGGAAGAGGAGCAGCTGGGACTAGAACCAGCACCCATATGGGATGCTGGTGCCGCAGGCAGAGGATTAACCTACTGTACCACGGTGCTGGCCCCTGCCTCGGCTCCTAACTAGGTACTGTAAAGATCCTTTCCACTCTTGAAATTCTCTGATGCTAAAACCAAAGAGTCATAGGAACAAAACTCTTATGAGCCCTTCTTTGTTTTACACCCAATATGTGACCTTAGGAAGCCTGCTTGCTTTGAGAGGACTGGCCTTAGACTGCCAGGGCTCTTGGCTCAGCTTTTTATGGGATCTCTCCTGATACATGCAACTCCTCCCTTGCCCCTTTGCAGTGGTGTATGGCTGGAAAGTGCATCACCGTGGGGAAGCAACCAGAGAGCATCCCTGGAGGTTGGGGTCGCTGGTCACCCTGGTCCCACTGTTCCCGGACCTGTGGAGCTGGAGTCCAGAATGCAGAGAGACTCTGCAACAATCCTGAGTAAGTGCAGCAAAATGTCACTTCTCTTCCTTCTGCTACTGCTGGAAAAGCTATCCTGAGTGACCTCAAACTTCCCATGGGAAATTAAATGAGTTCCTAAGGACAAAAAGGAGCCAGAAGACACACAGAAGGTGGGAAAAAAAGTGCTTCTGTTTTGATTTCGGTTTGGCATTCGGTTCTTACTGAAGCTTGGATAAGATGATTGTATAACCAGGGAGTAAGCAAAATCTTAAAAAAGCACATATATACAAGCACAATCTATGTAGAAGGCTGTAGGGGATTATAATTCTTCCAGATAACACCTCTCTTATCAATAAGAGATTAGTCATGCCCATTTTATTGATAAGATTTTAGTTTGCTTTCTATCATAATGAATAAAATTTTTTTATTTTCCTTCTCTTACATAACTAGAAATAGCTAGGTCCATTTTTTGAGAATAATTATTCTTAACGTTTTTAGGAAAGAATTTTTTAAACCTTAGGATTCCATAGTATGCCTTCAGTATTCCACTGAAGTTATTTCACAAGTGGCTTTCACTTTTTTAATCAAATTGCTTGATTTTTCATAGATTAAATTTATGTAATGATATTATATGTGAATTAAGTTTAAATTTGTTTGGTTTTCAAATAAATATTTTATTACTAACTTTACTAATTTCCTGGTTTACTAGTTTTCGAGTATAAATTTTACAAAGTGTTCATGTGTTGCCTTATGAAAAAGTTAATAAGATTTTCCTACACTTACATTAGTCTGCCTTGAAGAATATGGGTCACTTTTTTAAAAGGCAAGTGATAAAAGCAATTGCAATTCTCTCAGTATCTGAGTTTCAAATCTTATTTCCCTTTATATTAATAAATGTGAAATCTTATTTCCATTTTTATTAATAAATGTCTTAGTATACATATGTGTGTACATATATATATGCATGAATTATAAACTATATACTACATGCAGAATGAATTTCTTCTGGGGGTTAATAAATTAATGTCTATAAAGAGGTTAACACTGTACATAACAATTTATTCATAAATGGTAATTATTTTAATAGTTATTGTATGGTTATTATCTATCACACATATCAGTGTGGAATTGAGGAATCTTGACAAAATTACTTTATGATCTTACCCTTGACAAAAGTTGCTTTTGTTTAAATCTTAGACTTTGTGAATTCAAGGTCAGAAATTTCCTATAGAGAACTGTTTTTAGAGAAAATTATTTCAAAGCTTGTTTCCCTTTGATCAGAAGTCTGATTTCCATTTTGGAGATCAGGACATACAGGCTTCAGTGCTGTGTGTTCCATAACCTGTGGACAGAATCATCAGTAACTTGTGTGTATCAGTCAGGAGACATCCTAGTTTAGAGATGGAAGGATGATTCTCTCACTTGGCTTTTGGGAAGAGAGGTCCTTACTTCATCTTTAGGGTCACAATTTGTCATTGAATCTCGTCAGGTGAGTGAACACATCTGCCCTCCATAGTTGGTTGGTTTATTTATTGAGAATAATACTGATGGAAATAGTCATATATTGAGTTCTGTGATTCCAGTCACTGATTCATATCAGTTATATCTAATTATGCTAATAAAATGCTAGCTTGTGTCCAATCATAATGAATGTACATTTTATAAAAATATTTTCTTCCCTTGAAAAAATTTTCTGACCTTGGAACTGCATCCTTGCTGTTGGTCAACTGTCTGGTGAAAACCCAGCAGGGCTTGGCTTGTAAGAGGCTCTTGCTGATGTATATTGGATGAAAATGAATAGGAGAGATGCCAAGTCACAAAGTGTCATTTCATCAATATGAATTGAAAACCAGCCTAATCTCAGATGAGCCTGCCATGTAAACTGCCTTAGTCAAAGCTCATTGATATACAAAGACCAGATCAAGCCACATTAAGAAAAGTCGAGAGGGAGATATAAAAAACCTAGTAGACATTCAGTGAGAACAAGGTATAGCAGAACAGCACAAGACCTATAACTCTCAACAAGAACTTTTTCCTTTTCTTTCTAATTTTTGCAATGACATACTTTTAATTTATGTTCTAATCATGAGCTTAACACTTCACTAAAGAATTCAACAAGTAGTAAGTAGAAAACCACTGTTACTCAGGAGTATTGACAAGAACTATAAACAATAATCAAATCTCAAAATGCCAGTTTCACTCATATACAGTATCTTTTTGTTACCACAAATTAAGGGAAAACATATGATATTTGTCTTTTTGGAACTGGCTTATTTCTCTAAGCATAATGGTCTCCAACTGCATCCATATTGTTGCGAAAGACAAGATTTCATTCTTTTTTATGGCTGAGTAGTATTCCATGGTATGTATATACAACAATTTCTTTATCCAGTCATTGTCTGATGAACATCTGGGTTGATTCATTATCTTAACTATTGTGATTTGAGCTGCTATACACTGGAGGTACATATGACTCTTTCAAATGCTGATTTTATTTCTTTTGAGTAAATTCCCAGGAGTGAAATGGATGGATCATATGGCAAGTCTATTTTCAGATTTCTGAGTAATCTCCATTCTGTCTTGCATAATGGTTTTACTAGTGTATTCTCACCAACAGTGTATTAGAGTACTTTTTTCTCCATATCATCTGCAGCAGTTATTTTTGATTTTCGGTCAATAGCCATTCTAACTGGGGTAAGGTGAAACCTCATGGTGGCTTTTATTTGTTTTCCCTGATGGCTAATGATCCCGAGCCTCTTTTCATGTATTTGCTGACCATTTGTATTTCATCCTTTTAAAAATGTCTGTTTATATCCTTAATCCATTTCTTAACTGGATTCTTTGCTTTGTTGTTGTTGAGTTTCTTGAGCTCTTTATATATTCTAGATATCAATCCTTCATCAGATGTATAATTTGCAAATATTTTCTCCTATTCTGTGTGTTGCCTCTTTGTTGAGTATTTCCTTTGCCATGCAAAATTTACTTAGCTTGATGTAATCCAATTTGTCTATTTTTGCCTATTGTCTATGTTTCTGAGATTTTATTGAAGAAGCTCAGGTCTATGTCAGTGTCTTGCAGTATTTTGCATATGTTTTCTTGTAGTAATGTGGATTTAGGTCATAGGTTTAGATCCCTGATCCATTGTGAGTTGATTTTTGTGTAGGTTGTAGAGTAGGAATTTTGTTTTATACTTCTGCATGCAGATTCAATTTTCCCAACAATGTTTGTTGAAGTGACTGTCCTTTCTCCAAGGAGTGATTTTAATCACTTGTAAAAGTTTAGTTTGTTGTAGATGCATGATGGCTACTTCTTCTCATTTTTTAATTTCCATTATCATTGTATACCTTTTTCCATCCTCTCACTTTCAATCTGTGTGCATCTTTGTGAGGTATGTTTCTTGTAGGCAGCAAATAGATTGCCCTTGTTTTTTAATCCATTCAGCAAATCTGAATCTTTTAATTGGAGAATTTAGGTCATTTACCTTCAAAGTTAGTATTGATAAGTAAGGACTTGGTTGTGCCATTTTTCAGTAAATATTCCTACTGTTCATTTTGGATTTTCTTTGTACTTTTACTAGGAGATTTTCTGCTTTCACATTCTTTCATGATACGATCTATGTTTGTTTCTGTGTGTAGTACACCCCTAAGTATCTTTTGTAAGGCAGCACATTCTTTGCATTTCTACTTGTTTTGGAAGGTCTTTATTTCACCTTCATTTATAAAAGAGAGCTATTCTGAGTACAATATTCCTGGTCGACAGGTTTTTTTTTCTTTTAGGACTTTGACTATGCCTCTGCATTTTCTCCTAGCCTATAGTGTTTCTGATGAGAATTTAGCTGCCTCTAATTGGAGATCCTTTAAAGGTCATCTGGCATTTCTCACATGCATGTTTTAATGTTTCTTTGCTTCACTTTTGAAAGACTGAATATAATTTGCCATGGTGAAGATCTTTTCTGAACATTTATATTAGGAGTTTTATGTTTTTCCTGTACTTGGTTGTCATGTCTTTCTTCCATTTAGAGAAATTTTATGCTTTTAGTACACTGAATAGGTATTTTAATACATTCTGTCTTCCCACACCTTCAGGTACTTCTAAGACATGTATATTTAGTTGCTTGATGCTATCCCATAAATATAAAACATTGTTTTTTGGTTTTTCTAATTTTTCTCTTATTTTGTCTGACAGATTGACAGATATTTCCAAAGATCTGCCTTCTAACTTGGGTATTCTTTCTTCTGCCTTGCTGAGTCTCTTGTTTAGCCTTTCTAATGTATTGTTTATTTGATATATTGAATTTTTCATTTCTAATACTTTAATTTTTCTTCAATATATCTCTTGGCAAATTTTGTCATCCATGTCATGTATGATTTCTTTAACTCATGTATTTGCTTCCCTGTGTTTTTGAGTAATTTTATGATGATCTATTTGAATTCTTTTTCAGATATTTCATCACTCTCTCTCTCTCTCTTTTTTTTTTTTTTTTTTTTTTTTTTTTTTTTGGACAGGCCGAGTTAGACAGTGAGAGAGAGAGACAGAGAGAAAGGTCTTCTTTCAGTTGGTTCAACCCCCAAATGGTTGCTATGGCCAGCGCACTGCACTGATCCGAAGCCAGGAGCCAGCTGTCTCCTCCTGATCTCCCATGTAGGTGCAGGGCCCAAGCACTTGGGCCATCCTCCACTGCCTTCCCGGGCCACAGCAGAGAGCTGGACTGGAAGAGGAGCAACTGGGACAGAATCTGGTGCCCCAACTGGGACTAGAACCTGGAGTACCAGTGCCATAGGCGGAGGATTAGCCTTGTGAGCCATGGCGCTGGCCCATCAATCTCTTTTTCTTCACATTGTAATATTAAAGTGTTGCTGTATTCCTTTGGGGAAGTCATATTGTCTTCCTCATTTATGTTTCTTGTATTTCTATGTTTATTTTTAATCATCTGTGCAAACACTTATTGGTTTTCTCCTCTGAAATATTTTACCTTTGAAATTTGCCTCTCTGGCCTAGTGGAATGTCTGCTCCTTCATTAGATATCTAGAGGTGTATAC